AGCTTCTAGTTCGGAATCTACACGTTTGCGGCCAATTTGCACATCAGCGCCATCATTATTAAAGAAGCAATGAGCAAAGAAATTAAATTCTTGAATTCGAGATAACTACGACGATTAATATATATGTATATATATATATGTGTGTGTATGCATGTTTTTTATTATGCATTTATCAATTCCAATATAATATATATATATATATATATATATATATATATATATATATATATATATATATATAGGTCTGCTCTACGGTTGTATTGAGCTCTTTGTTAGTTGTTTACTCGTATCGGGGTTTTCTTTGGGCTTCAAAACCTGTATCTGTGCGATTTTTTTCGACAGACTTTCATGTTTGTAGCTCTTTCTTTTTTAAAACCTTTTTTCCCCTCGAGATTGATTTGGTTATTGGCAAATCAAAAAATTCGAGGGATTTTCAAACTGAGTATAGTTACCTATATTTGTATACATATATATATATATATATATATATATATATATATATATATATATATATATACACAAATATGTGTGTGTATATGGTGCAATGGGTAAATTGTCGTCATTTTATATTTTTTATTTCTGGAAGCGCGTTTTTTTTTTTTTTTTTTTGATTTTATCAAGTGCACTGAATATTAGGGCCGATTGAGCACCGTCTGTGAGAAAAAGAGCGCCATAACGCAATTCAGTCCGACAGAAATTTGGAAACGACATACTGTACGATTTGGCATTCGCTCCGGAATCTTAAGTGCGAACAGTTCAGCTGATTCGGAAAGACCGCCTTAATCAAATAGTGATTACAAGGGTGTTTGAAGTGATCACTAATGATGGCAACGTTATGCCGTCATTCATCTTACCACAGGGCCTCGCGCTCAACACAGAGGGCTACATCAATTGCCTTGAGGTGGTAGTGCTACCCTGGGTCAAGAGAGTGGCTGCTGGAAGACTCAATGTATGGCAGTAAAGCTGCACCCTGCCACACAAACAGGAGAACCCAGTCGTGGCCGTCAGACAATTTCTGCGACCACATTACTTCTTTTATCTGGACACCTATCTCCCCAGACTGCTGACCTATTGCTTAATATTTCTGTGGTGTAGTTAATCGAGAGATCAACAAAACTCCTTGTAACACCAAAGATTAACTGAAGGCAAGTATTATGGCAGCATACACCAGCTTAAACAAGAAAACCGTACTGAATAATTGCAGTAGATTCCGAAGTCGTCTTGTGGCCGTGGTTGAAGCCAACGGTGATTTTATTGAAGAAATCTACTCTTCAGTATTTTGGGAAATTTTTGTGTAATTTTGGTTAATATATCTGTTGGAATGATATGTCAGTATTATTTTCATTTGGAGTTATTTACACGGCAATTTTGCCATCGCACCCTGTATATATGAATAAAGACAAAAGGAATACTTCTATTACCCGACGCGTTTAGTCCTTTGAGAAACTGTATCAAGGGAAATGCAAGGTTAGGAACGCTCATAAATTTTCATCAGGTTAGCTGATAATGTCAGGCAAACTATGGAAGACACGATGTGTCACAATTGAATGTCTAATAAACAAAAGTGAGTCAATGATGTTTTTGAAAACACACTTCCCCGCACATATATAAAACCATGATAGAAATATCAAACATAAAACATATTCATATAATACCCACTGCGAGAAATTATACGTAGGGACCAACACATTCATCTTCAAAGAATAAAACAACTCCTCGATGGCAATAATGTCCACGAAAAAGTAAATAAAAAGACAGAAAATTTTAAAAACGAAACCAAGAAAATATGAAATAAAAAGAATGTTGACCATGTTCACCATAGTCTATGAATATAGAATACAGCGCAGTACGTAATCTGTTCAATGAAACAACGTTAAAGATTAACACTCACGAGTCAGACACTTTACTGAATCTGACTATATCGCCAATACCACCAGCAGCTGTTCCCTAATTCAAAGGCTGTTCGAACGCGTATAAACGGGTTCAGGGGCAGTCAACCTCCCCGAACGAGACTCTGCCATTCGTCGGAGCCTCGTCCGGGTTATCAAAGGCTGGCAGTGAATATTCGGGAAAAATATGGCCGCACTGAATATTTTGAGACATCTCATTGGTTAACCTTTCTATTGGTGAACTATAAAATGAGTCAGCTCATTTTGGCTGACTCACTAGTACACCAGGGTACCCAAAAGTTCCAACAAATAATATTTCTGGCTGTAAGTCATCGAACACCACCCGAAAACATCCACAATTTACTGATTACCAAAAATGCATAAACCGAACATCTCAGTGAAACCCATTATAACAAGTAAGGGAAGTAGCCAAATTAAACTGGTAGGTACACTAACTAGAATGTGAAGCCCTCTTCTTGATTCAATTATCTCCTTGCATATATATATATATATATATATATATATATATATATATATATATACACTGCGTGCCAAATTATTATCGAGATAACTATTTTTCTAATATTTCAACAACCGTCCAATCAATTCACACAAAATTTTCACACAATGTTGGCAACACTGAGCTACGCAATCACTGCGCAATGTAAACAAACTGGCGCCATATTTGTTAGTAGCACGGTGATTAGAGCGTGCCAAATTATTAGAAAGCTTTAGTAAAATTCCCAGAATTGAGCAAACAAAACGTTTATTAATATTGAACGTGAATGTTTATGATCAAAAGAAGCTAATAAATAAGATAATCAAACAAATAATAACAGATACAAGCAAAGGCACAGTTTTAAACAAATTAATAGGGAATGTGCTTTCCCTGTTTTGAAATTACTTGAAAAAGTTGACGATCCATAGAATTTGTTAATTGTAGGAAGTCATCTGCTGTAATGCCGAGAGATATGTCAAGAATTGCTTCCCACAACTCAGCGTTGCTCCTGAATTGTCGTACATTGGCGTACAGACTTCGCTTCATGATGCTCCAAAGGTTTTCGATTGGGTTCAAATCCGGAGAATTTGCTGGCCACTTCATTTTTCGAGGTCCATTGAAGTCTGTTTCAAATATTTAGTAGTCTTGTGAGCAGCGTGTGAGAGAGCATTATCTTGCATAAAAAAACAATGGCCCTTCTGAAGGCAACTCTTTGCCTTTTCATCCACGGTTCAAGATGCTCCTTCATAAACGCTATGTAATGCTCAGCAGTCATTTTGACGCCATCTGATACTCTCCATGGGCCCACTAATGTTTTTCCAATAATATCACACTAGATCATTATGCCTCCACCGCCTTGTTAGCGTCTCAAACGCTGATGGCGATTCTGCCCGTTTATTACCCAGCCTTTGCACCATCTATCTGGCCCATCAAGTGTTGCTCGAGTTTCGTCTGTGAACAAAACTTTAGAGAAGTCAATCTTCGTATTGTCCCCGGCCCATTTCAATCGATTTTGAATGTGATTTCTCGTCAACGGAAGCTTCGATACAGATTGGATGGTTTTTGAACTATTAGAAAAAAGTTATCTCGATAATAATTTGCACGCAGTATATATATATATATATATATATATATATATATATATATATATATATATAAACTCCGGTGATGACCAAATATTACCAAAAATACTTTTTGGAAAACTTGAGTACACACAGACTAAACAGCTAGTGAAAGATTGTGTTACGCTTACTTTTCTGTGGGGAAAGGGTTGCATATCTTGAAAATCTGCAGTTACAGTTCAGGCTTGAACTTGAATACAAATCATCGGAACTGCAGAGAACTTTTCAACAAGCTCAATATTACGCGCAAACCGGACTAATTCTATGTCCGGGGTTTGACGATAAACTATATCCGCGTCCTGGGTAAGACAAAAAACTACATCCGCGTCCTGGGTAAGACAAAAAACTACATCCGACAGCAAAGATGTTTTGAGGAGCGTGGAACCACCTCTTAATTATTGGTGTTCCCAAGTCCACCATGACCCAGGTTGGTAGCACGGGTTAGGATCCAAGCTATGAACAAATAGTTAACTCCCAAACTGGGGTCAAAACGTGTAAAAATAGCTTTTAATACCGGCAAAACATTTTTGCAAAATATTATTACCAGTAATGAATTTTTGAAGGAAAAATTATTACCAGCAATACATTTTCGGAAAAAAAATATTACTAAAAATACATTTTGGAAAAAATATTACTAGCTATAAAAATCTTGTTGGCATTAAATGACCCATTAAGATTGATATGCCGTAAAATAAACCAAACCGAACCAAATACCTGACCGATTCCAATCATGCCGATAATAAATCATTCCAATGCGTAACGCTCTTCTTGTCGACATAAGGAAGTTGTGAATGTTTCTGAAATAAAGTCGATTGGTAAAACTTTGATGATGAAGTAACATAGACTGGCACATTTACAGCTCTACATAAATCATGGCTGACTCCCAGAACGAGGTTTCAAGTGTATGAATGTTGGAGTTCGTACATTTTCATATGTGTTATGTCAGAGTATTCTGGGTCACTCAACTTACTCGAGTATTTTGGCTTGGGAACTTGGACATGAAGAGGTTATTAAATGGCGAAATCAGATTCGCTTGCAAGAAATAAATCGATAGCCATTAGCAGAATGAACTGACAGCCTTGGAATGAATGAACTGACAAAAGATCATATTGAATTTCACTGGCATGGATTTGGTTGCATATTTTCTTTCTTTCTTTGCAAATGTTATTAAATATATTTCTTTTTCTCTTTTAATTTCGATTTCATTTGTCATTTCTTTTATTCTATGCTACTTTTTTACTACATTCTATCAGAGGTCCTAAATTTTTCTTTGTTTTTTCTTTCTTTTCTCTTTCTTTCTTTTTTCTTTCTTGTTTGCTTGCCTTTTCTTCCTTGCTTTCATAACTGACATCTTACTTTTTCATTTGTTTTGTTCGTTTCTTTCTTTCTGTCTTTCTTTCTTCACATTTCATTCCATTCGCTTTCTTTTTTCCTTTCTTTTTCATTTATTTATTTGCTCTGTTTATTTGTTTGTTTTTTTCTTTCTCTAATATGTTTTGTTTTTATATTTACTTTCTTGTTTCCTTTCTTTCTTTCTTTCTTTCTTTCTTTCTTTCTTTTACATTTACTTCTTCATTTGTTTCATTTTCTTTCATTCATTCTTTCTTTCGTTCGTTTTCCTTCTGTCTTTCTCCCACTTTTTCCTTTTCTTTTGTTTCCTTTTATCTTTCTGTCTTTCTTTCTTTCTTTTTTTCTTTCTTTCTCCCACTTTCTTTTTCTTTTGTTTCATTTTATCTTTTTTTATCTTTCTTTCTTTCTTTCTTTCTTTCTTTCTTTCTTTTCTTTTGTTTCATTTTGTTTGTTTGTTTGTTTGTTTGTTTGTTTCTTTCTTTCTTTCTTCTCATTTCATTCCATTCGCTTTCTTTCTTCCTTTCTTTTTCCTTTATTTATTTGCTCTGTTTATTTGTTTTTTTTCTTTCTTTAATATGTTCACGTTTTTATACTTACTTTCTTTTTTCCTTCCTTTCTTTCTTTTTTCTGTTTTTCTTCCTTTCTGTCTTTCTTTCTTTCTTTTACATTTACTTCTTCATTTGTTTCATTTTCTTTCATTCTTTCTTTCTTTCGTTCGTTTTCCTTCTATCTTTCTCCCACTTTTTCCTTTTCTTTTGTTTCATTTTATCTTTCTTTCTTTCTTTCTTTCTTTCTTTCTTTCTCCCACCTTTTCCTTTTCTTTTGTTTCCTTTTGTTTGTTTCTTTCTTTCTTTCTTTCTCAACGAAATCGACAGTCATTAGGTACAGTGTAACCCGGATATAAGAGACCCGGATATAAGAGAAACCCGGATATAAAAGAGATTTTCTCTGGTCCCAAATTAGAGCCTGTGTTAATGTATATAAAATAGACGAAACCCGGATATAAGAGAAACCCGGATATAAGAGACTTCTTCTCCGGTCCCGACAACTCTCTTATATCCGGGTTACACTGTATATGTACATATAGAGAAACAGGCAGTGTAGCCATATGCACCAACAGTGCACGATCACAGTCTGCTCTGAAGATGGCATTTTAAGCGTGAAACTGATATATATGAGAAATGTGTTCATTTGTTCGCTATACCCAGCCAACACTTTCGTGTTAAAATCTTTTATCTACATTATTTCCGTAATCGATCATGGCTCAGTAATAATTCTTGCATTTTATTCTTCTATGTAACTTTTGGCTCATAACAATTTTCTTTGTCTTGTGTGCATTCACACAACCACGTTAGGTACGTTATTCGCTATTTCGCTTGTGTCCTTTGAGTGTTAAATTTTCCAAGCCCTATTTCTTCATTATGTGTCCCGAAAATTTCAACTAATTATGCAAGCAGAACAATTTTAGTTCCTCACACCAGCCTTATTGCCCAGATATTTAGCCCACAGTGTTATTCGCATCCGCCTTTAAAATGTCATGTCGAGTCATTTATTCATACGTGAGGCAATTATCTAGCTTTTTTTTTCATTTGTTCACCCCAAACAAAGCGATAATGTCACTAGGACGCCAGGGGATACAGTGAGTGAAAGAGAACGTGAAGACTAGTGAGGGGAGATTTGGAGAAAGGACAAGAGAGAAACAGGACTCAGAGAGGCAGATGGCGATCGAAATTTAAATTTCTGAAGGGAGTTCCACGGGCTAGAAAAGAAACTGTTAGGATAGAACAGACGTTTGTATCTAGCGAGTACAACAGTAAGACGATGAGACTTAGTTGCCAATCAAGTAGCACGCTTAAATTCATGAAGTAAAAGCACCAAAGGGGTAAAGCTCATCAGTGTAATTGGCATGGAAATATTTGTAGAAATGACGGGCGGGAAACGTCATGTCGGTGAGAAACTGAATGAAACCGAGATGCCAGGTCAGGACCAATAACATTATTGGCACTTCTTTCAATTTTGTCAGGAATCTCGATTTATATATAATGGGGACCACAGATCAGATAAGACGGACAAATGGTAGAGATACACTTTTGTTCAAATTAATTGAAACAAAACGAATAATTCCGTTTTTATTTACTTATTTTGGTATTTTTCCAATGACCCATGACCCAGTGCACATATAAGTATTTCGCATGTCCATTCTACGAAGTCGTTCCTTGCAGATTGACCACTCATTCTCGACTGGATTTAAATCAGGAGTGTTTCCCAGCCAGTCAATAGTACTTTGATTTGGTCAATAGTAAGGTTTGTCAGTGTGTTCGTGCAACGTTACAATTTTCGTAAGATTCCTTGAAGTAACGTCCATCGCAGACAATGACCGTAGGACAACTAATCGACAGTCGAGACAATAGTGTCTGCACGTGATAAAAATCTGACGCAATTACGGATGATTCAATAGTTTTCGAGGCCAAACAATTTTTATCATACACCCCGAAAACAGATTCATATCACTACAAATAATCCAATCTGAGGAAAAAATAGAAATCGATTACAGCCTGTTACTCCAGTGGGTCTACAGATGAGTGTATGGTGAAAGAAAGGAAAGTAAAGCTGTTGTTTCAATTAATTTGCACAAGGGTGTATAAATGTGCAAGATGGATCCAAACGAGAAAAAATGTCTGGCAGTAAATGTCGCAAATTTCTTCAATATGATCGCTTCACTTCATGTCCGTGGAAAATGTGGCACTAACGCGAAATATGGCCCTCCAGAAGGATGGCATAACCATTCACTGCCATACTCGATATTTGATATTACATAACAGATCAGCGCACTATAGCAATCAAATTTTATTGGGCATAATCACTGGGAAAGTTTTCAGCTAATTTTCTTTGTTCACCATGGGTAAAGAGACATTTTCTTTCTCTGATAAGGAAATTTCTTTTGCAACAAAAATTAATATTCATAGGTGTAAGATTATCATCTTTTTTATAGATTTCGTTGGCATGACTAGAAAAAAATATTTTTGTTCTTTTAAAAAAGCAAAATTATAGAAAAATGTTTTCTTTTTTTACTTTTTAGAGTTAATTCTTCTTGGAACAAATTGCCAAGAACAAAGAAACAAAATTGGTTTTGTTTTTTAATGTACGTGATCAGTGTCGCTGAAAAATCACATTAACTGAGACATTGAAATCGCGTTAAAAGTTCACTTTCCTTGGACATATATCGTCACCCGTTTTCAGGTTTTAAATTATTGCATAAAGATACGAATTCTAATGTTAAGCGTAGTCCCCATTTAAGTTTGTTAATAAGGCGAAACGCTTGCTTCCTACAAAGAACAAACTAATCACAGATGAACACGCCGATATTAATACCTCTTGCTTATCTGTCTACACTATTTACATTATTCGGACTATTGTCCTCATCTTTGTCGCCATATATATTACAACGTTTCAGCCTTTCAGGATCTATCTATATTTCTGAGATGAGGTATTATGTACACTATTTACACCATTCGGACTATTGTCCTCATCTTTGTCGCCATATTTATTACAACGTTTCGGCCTTTCATTATTTGTATATATTTCTGAGATGAGGTATCATATACACTATTTACATCATTCGGACTGTTGTCCTCATCTTTGTCGCCATATTTATTACAACGCTTCGGCCTTTCATTATTTGTATATATTTTTGAGATCAGGTATTGTGTATATTATATACATCATTCGGACTATTGTCTTCGTCGCCATATTTATTACAACTTTTCGGCCGTTATACGCTCCAGCCTTCTTCAAGGACACATGGGACAGTGGATAAAGGTGTTAGTTAGATCCAGTGACAGGACCCAAAAGTTAAGGCAGTGGAGAACATGGAGAGGGGAATTAAGAGGAGATAACTGACATGACACGTGGAACTAGAACAGTCTACCTCAGTTAGCGAAATAAAAGGGTTCAGTTCGACATTCCAACCACCTGAAGAAGGCCGGAGCGTACAACGGCCGAAACGTTGTCATAAATATGGCGACAAAGATGAGGACAATAGTCGGAATAATGTAAATAATGTACCTCTTGCTTATTTTGAAGAAAGCTTTAATAGATACAGGGAGCACAATACTGTTAAATTTAAATTTTCAGCAGCGTTCTTCATTTTATGGGGTGATACCTGCATAGGCCGATACGGAACGTATATTGCGACACATATCGCTGTCACCATTGCGGAGAGCGATAAACGTCGTTTTATATCTGGCGTTTTGTCGCCGTAAATATTCAGCAAGTGTCGAGGAATGTCAACATCTTAAATTTCTACAGCATAAAAGAATTGAATAACACGCCTTTGCTTCGTAAGCACTTTCGTGTCAGACTCTGTTCAGTCATTTTTTTTTTTTAGGCAGAGAAGTGTAACCTATAGTTTTTAACACCAATATCTGCCTCAGACGTCAGCAACCAACGTAATTAAATAAATAGTATTCGTTTAGGAGCGATTCTCGTGGAAGTAATTTATCATGGTAAACCTAAGCATATTTTATATTTTCCATGATAAAGTCCATCGGAGGACGAAATGCGTCGGTAAACGTACGTCTTCCTTTTATCTTGAATCATATATATATATATATATATATATATATATATATATATATATATATATATAATTATTACCTGTTTATGACTGTAAGGGATAATTTCGAGGAGGATATACATCCAAGGAGAGCTCAATGTAAATTACAAAGGAGGTTTTAATTATCCATTTCGTTTTATAATTTGTATTTCGTGAACACCAAGATGTTCAACTCATCATAACGAAATCTCCTTTGTAAAATGCGTTTTGATATATATATATATATATATATATATATATATATATATATATATATATATATATATATATATAATGATAAAAATATACTTTTAAGGTATGCTCTCTTATACGTTAAATTGCTCAATATCAGGAATAGAACGTATGTCAATATAAAGTTGTACAGTGAGATCAGGGAGAGCGCTTGTCTCATGATTGAAAATAATCTTCAGGCCATATATATATATATATATATATATATATATATTTTCAGACAGTACTGTTGCGCTCTATCACAACTTCTCAGTGCGACTAGACGTCCGAAAGCCTTAAGCCAGGATCAAAACCCGATGTGATGTCACTCTACTTCTAAGTCATCAGCACTCGGCAGTGTATATATATATATATATATATATATATATATATATATATATATATATATACACACACACACACAAATATATATATATACACACACACACACACACACATATATATATATATATATATATATATATATATATATATATGAAAGTGGACATTGATTCAGCACTTGGGGGCGAAAGGCTGTTTCATGCTAGACGCAATCCTCAGGACACCGACGATTGCGTCTAGCAGGAAAAAGACTGCCGCCTCAAAATGCTGACTTCAATGTTCACTTTTATATTTACACACGCTCTATCTCTGGTATTGGACACTATAAATGTAACACACCTTAAAAGTATATATATATATATATATATATATATATATATATATATACATATGATGGACTCTCCCGTCGAGTTCGAAGTATAAGGTTCCGATGATCACTTACTAATTATCTGCATGCCTATGACTTACATGCATATATTCTTTATTCTTTTTTTTTTTATAGATTCAATTTATTTACGTAAATGCTCTCTTTTTTAATTAAACCGATATTAATTACATTTACCCGTCTGAAGTTTCGAGACATTTCGTAGATTATATTCGTTCCCCGAAAAGAATCGTACCTGTATTCCTATACGGATACCGTCATTTGATCTGACGTGCTATACCATTTAGCTACAGATAGGCATCGGGTTAGCAAAGTTTGAATTACTGTTTA